CTGGGAAGAAATGGCTTCTTCCAAGGGCATATTTCTTAGCTGATTTGCTATATGGCTTCCAAATACCTCAAACTCATCAGGCGTTTTGGAGTGAGATATGTTCTCAAATTTATTTACCGCCTGCAAAATAGGCTCCATATCCTGCGACTTGGACTTAACAGCTGTGACCTTTTTAGGCCTTCTAACTTGAGATCCTGATGGGTGATCATCAAAAAATCCTGCCTCACTTTCTCTGCTCTCCACCTACAATAAAAAAAAAATATTAAATATAATAATATAATGTTTTAATTTCAGGTTCCTAGTATAATAGTTCTAATGGTAAAAAATACAAGATTTTAATAATAACTGGCAGTTCCCCTTCTGTTGCGGCGCTCTCGACGGGAAGCACGTCGTGATTAAGAATCCATGGAGCATCGGATTTTTACAGACACAAAGGCACGTACAGCGTTGTTTTATTCGCCATCGTCGATGCACACCTTCGCTTTTTGTATATAGATGTCGGTGTAAATGGCCGTATGAACGATGCAAGCATTTTAAAAAAATCTAAATTTTGTAAAGCGCTTCAAGAAGATAAGTTGGGTTTACCACATAAAGGGGCTTTTATTGGCGATGATGCGTTCCCTTTAACAAGTAGAATTTTGAAGCCTTATTCCAGGCATGAGCACTTTCTTGCAAGGAGAAAATTTTTAATTATAGACTGTCACGAGCGAGGCGTATTGTGGAAGGCGCGTTTGGCATAATGGCGTCTCGCCTCAGGATATTTCGAAAGCCCATATCGGCGTCGCTAGATAAAAAGGACTCCATGTGTTCTTCAAAACTGGCTTCGAACAAGTAATATGAGTGCAGTTGGTTTAGTCGATGAAGAAGACACAACCACTGGAACCACTCGTCAAGGAAGTTGGAGGAGCATTCCATCAGGTGCCTTACTAGAGGTCAACACACAACTTTGTTCTAACAACTACACCGAAAATGCAAAGGAGCCGCTTGACAAGATCGCAAATTATTTTGTCGGCCCCGGAGCAGTTGCTTGGCAGGACAAAATAGTCCCTTGAATAATTTTTTTAAATGTACAATTACTATATATTTTTTCACATTAAAATATTGTATTGAAAAACAAACTTTAGTTTTTATTTTTTATTAAAATACAAAAAATAGTTACCATGTTGGTTTCCGTGGCCCTTCCTTCGCCTACAGGTTTTCAAAACCGTTCCGCCACCTGGAACCAAGACACCTTCGGTATGTACACGTCATCGGTACCAGCACCACTCTTCTTCGAGGACCCTATTTTGGCTGCTTCCCTAGAGTACATGGTTCGCACACTTCTTATCTTTGTTTTCAGCTCACTAATAGAAAGATAGAGCTGCAATTCTGAAAGCATCGCATTTAGTGCAGCTGTCCGAAACGAGTGGTTTTTGTACAGCTTGTTCCGGGGATTCCACAAACATGGGTGCTGCTCCTAGCACTCCAGAAACTTTATTATATCAATTTTATTAATTTTTTAATAATCACACTTGAAATGAAATGGTTTTGTGTATTTAAAGTTGTGTTCCTGTACTTTTCGAACAAAATCATGTAAAAATGCAAATCTGCGCGTAAGGGAACAAACCCACACAGGGTTGCACGGAAAAAAAGTTGAACGGGCTCAAAGTGGGCTGGCGACCAACTTTGCTGAAAGCGATTAATTGAAAGGCCATTTACACCAGGCCATTGTTGCTTTCAACTAAAACTTGCCTGAAAAATCGCCGCATGTAAATTCCCTATTACTTAGGGCCGTTTTCTCAAGTAACCAGTAACTTTAAAGTTCTCTTTATATTTAAAGGTTGCATTCAAATTTATGGTTGTGTCTAAAGTAAAGCACTTTATTATCGGCTTTAACTTTGTTTACAACCAAGAAACATACATACGTCAAAAAAACGATAATAAAAATGCTTAACTTTAGACATAGCGTTATTTTTAATCCAACCTTTAAATATAGAGTGAACGTTAATGTTAAAGGTTACTTCAGAAAACAGCACTTACTTGCTTACTTTTTATTTCTATAACCAATTTACCAAGCTCAGGAATAAACAAACAGTAACTCCAAGCATTTTCGTTTTATTAAGACCCATTAAATAAGTTGCTTAATTTAAACGGGTATGGTTAAACTTTTTGAAAGATTTTGTTAAACTTTATTTTTCCGGCGCGGCAAAACTGAGTGTAGTGTTACAGGGGCAGTTGAAATTTTCGCCCCGGTGTTTCTTATGGCGTTTTCGTTCATACAATATATGTTGCATCCTCATTGCCCCCTTCTTAGTATTTGTGCTTAGAGGGCAAAGATAAGGTAACATTTTTTGGTAGGAACGAAAACGCCATTAAAGAAAGCCATAAACATAGCGACCGTTGGTTCAACTTGGTGACGTTTTGTTCTAGATTGCACCGTTTGTGGGTCTGTTAAATGAATTTGTGTCTTGGTTGTATGAAAGATTAAAAAATTTTGATTTTCAGGCAAGTTGTACAATTCGTCGCTACATTAATGGCCATGTTGTACAAAGTCATTCTGTTTTGCGTTTATTTCGTTCCCTAAATAACCCAAAATGGATAACTCAGCCGAAACTTTTGTTGAATGTTATAAATGTAAGTCGAAACTATGAAATTGTAAAAATGAGATTTTACTATGAGATTGCTCGCAAAATTGTAACGTTTGTGGGCAAAACGTCCAACTTGCTTGCGGATCGATCTGAACCAACGGTTGTAATGTTTAAGGCTTGCATTATGTCAAAATTATGTGTTTGTTGTAATTCATTCTGTCATTTACTACCATTACACTGCGACAATAAAAAAAAATTCCTGGGAAGTTATGTATATTTTCTGGTAGGTCTTTTCGAGTAAAACAAGAATGGAAATATGAAATTTGCCAAACACCACCAAAATCTTGATTTACCTTTAAAAACAGGTTTTTCGTACTTTTGCGCACTTACAAGCCTGTAACTTATTAACCGAGTTTCGGTTTATTGCCGGGTTTAAAAAGACGAAACTTGGGGCTTTCGAACGAGATATAGGCGAATAAAAAAACCTTAAGATATCTGTGTGTATTTACCCACCAAACACATTTGTTTTACTTTTTTGAACTTTTCCAATTTTTATGAGCTTTTTATGCACTATTTTATAAAAAAACCATACTAGCCCTAAATTGATTGTAAAATTAAATTTAATAACGAGTAAATCGAGTGTACATTTTCAAAAATCGGATGAAAGTTTACTGAGTTATCAAACTTTTTATGAAAACAAAATGTTTGCAAAAGTATTATTTTTGGCTATACAACTAAAAAATGTTTGCTTTACCGTTTGTTTTTAATTTGACGTTTTCTATGATCGCAAAGTATGGCCATTCCGAGAGCCGGATCAAATAAGCAGAAAACGTTTTAAACGTCCCATTGGCCAAAGCTCAAAATGTTGTCCTACAACCACTGCATTTAATCCTGGGGTATATGAAACTATATGGGTATTCTCACAGGCTTCCAAAGCCCTTGCACGGTGCCCGGATTGAACTGTTTACAAAGCTGTCCCATAGGAAAACCGGTTTTTTTCGTGCATTGTAAAAAAATTTTATGCAAATAGCAATGCTTTTTGTCATCTTAAAGTCGTGTTCCATGCATTTTTTATTCTCTCTTCTAATACTTATTCATCGGTTTTATCTATTTTTATGAATTTTAGGTATTTTTATAGGACCTCAAGTTCGTAAAATTATAAGCGAAGTGAGCTTTTTGAACAAGCTGAGCTCTGTAGAAAAACGTGCACTGAAGTGTTTTGTAGCGCTACGCAATAATTTCGTTGGAAGCCACAGAAGCGACGACTATGTCACGGCTGTTAACAAATTTGTGAATGCTTACGGTAGAATGGGTTTTAACATGTCGATAAAAATTCATTTCCATCATTTGCATTTGGACACGATATCGAACCGAAAGTATCGATATGGTACTCATTTAAAGTATCGCTCTAAAAAAATCGGGTACCCAATAATATCGAAACAAAAAGACTCGATACCCAAAATATCGATACCAAATTCACATGAAAAAAAATTCTTATTTTCTAATTTAATAAGTTTTTACTTACTACACCGAAGGAGCGGGTTGAAATCCCAACACAAAGTTACGTTCCAGATGCTTCACGATTTGCAAGTTTTTACAGGAAGCCGTTCCAGGTGACCACCTTCCATAAGGTTTATTAATGGAGGTAACAGCTGCAAATCGTGAAGCATCTGGAACGCAACTTTACTAACCTGTTTGGTGCCCATTAAAGCTCCTTAACTAGCCATTGGAATGCGAAACACAGCGAAATCCCATGCAAGGAAATCGGCCCAAGCCTGACGCAGAATGTTAAGGCATATTCATATGAATGCAGGATTTACATATTTTATGTAATACACATATCTGTTGTCATAAGCAATAACCGCCTAAGACGACTTAAGAAAGATCTGAGTTATATATGCTATCGTATTCTACATACAACTACTATCCCAAGTGTATGTGAAATCCACATCTCGCTAGCTAGGCTATTTAAAAAATTATAGACGAACATATTTTAGATTCCCCATTACGTTAACATTACAATCCAAATGATTAAAACGTTTTTTCTCGAATTCAGGTTTTTCGACTTAGGCGGTTTTAGCTTATGACCACAGATATATCCTATTGCTTTACAATTAAATTCTGAAGTGAAGATACATTACCTTAAACGCGCCAAAAATAATTTAATTAAACTCTTTTATACTTTTAATTTATTATAAAAATATTATAAATTACATTAATGTAATACATTTTAGTTGAGTACAGTTCAGTCTTATACACTTTTAGTGTTGTAATGTGAATTTAATTAACATTGTCTTTTTTATTCTTAAATAAGAAATATAAAGTGATTTAATAAAAAAAAATGAATTTTGTACTTTAAATACTGACTAGAAATTTTCCCAGTAAATAGAAATAGAATATAGAAAATTCAACTCGTATAAATTAAAGAATTAATCAAAAAATTAGTTGAATATCCGTAAACATATTGAACGCGAAAAATCCTCTTAAAAAACCCCACTCCTCCTCAGTGCAATCCGCCAAGAAAAGCAGTTTATCTAGCCTCTTACCCGCCAACCTGCTCGTTTTCGCCAATGTGAAGCCTGCCTTAGAAACCAATCGTTCTGACGGGACAGACGTTGCTGGTATTACAAGATATCTAAGCGCAGTTTTAGATAAAAAAGGATATTTGACTTTATTTTCTTTCCAGAAATACAACGGATCAGCATTTACTGGAAGAAGTTTGCAATGTATGTATTCACTAATGCTTTCCCTTTGTTGTGTCGCGCGACCCCCTTCCCTACCAGACGCCAAGGTTCTAATGTGGTTCCAAAAATCATTCTTTTCGGGGGATTCTACAACTTCCACGTCAGAATCTTTTTGTGCCTCAGACACTTCCTCATGACTTTGCATATCCCGCAGCCAAGATAGGCATCTGGCATAAGCACACGGATCGGAAAACGCAATATTTTTGAATCTTGGGTCTAAAACACATGACAAGGCATGAATGTGATTTTCTTCAATATTTTTGAAGCGAATAGTTAATTGGTCATTTAGAACCATTTTCACTTTGTTAACTATGTCGTTATTCGAACCGTTTTTTACCATCTCATTTCTCATTTGTGCACGAAGGGTTTTAACTATTGGGATAACTTTACTGACTTTCACAAATTGTTCTCCAGAGATTTCCTTTGTTGCAATTTCAAACAGCTTTAAAACTTCCAAGATAGTTGTAATCGTCTCTAACTCTTGAGCTGTTGGTATAGGAGGCGCTTTGGAATCAAGGACTAAAATTTGGTGAATTGTTGGCGCGAGCTGTACATACCGGTCTAACATATAGTACAATGAATTCCAGCGCGTTCGAACATCTAAAATTGGTTTTAATGGCGGATTGCAATTTTGCGAAGAGCGGAGTTTGTCACTATATACAACGCTATTTTTAAAAAACTTAACAATATTTCTTACTTTTTCGCAAAGCGCGCAGAAAGATTCAAGTTTATAGACGGACTCAACTATTAAGTTCAATGAATATGCAAAACAGGATAAGTGATTGGATCTACCCACAAAAGCATTGACAGCTGCCACCATATTTGCACCATTATCGGTAATCGGAATGCGCACCTCCTTCCGCGTATAAAGATCTAAAGCAATAAATAGTTGTTTGATAGTGCTCTGAATTTAATTTAAAAATTTCAAAAACAAATGAAATTGCAGTATATGCCAAAGAATGATATAAAAAATATTACTTTCTTTGCTGTAACTCCAATATTGACCCTTTGTTACGCTTTGATTGGTCAATTCTTAAAAAATTTCATTCATTTGGTTTCCCATTTCTTGCAGCGAGAAAAAAAAATCGAGTTTTTTGAAACTTAACAAGCCGTTCATGAACAAAAAGAACAATTTTTTTTTAAATAATTTACGTTTCTAACAAAATCAAACTGGATTTAACAAGTTCTTAATATTATTTTTTTTTAATTCTTAACCGGTCAGCTTTCATAACAACATTCGAGCAGCTATGGCACTTCAAACATTAACAAAATATATCACTTACACAGTGAGTCCCAGTTTTGATAACACATTAATTTTTTTTATAATACTCCACATTTTTGTATAATTTTTAAAAATTTGTATGTGACTAAAATTTCTCACTTCAAGCTTGCACTTTAAGTTACTAAAATTAATGGCTACAAAACTACATACCCGAAAAACATCCAACGATTTTGAAAATTTGCTTAAAATTTGTTAATGTTTTTAAATTTTTTACAAAACTGATTTATTATAATATAATATAAACTATATTTTTGTTTTTAGAGAAAATTAACGTAAAAGACTCAACTTGAAAAACATTTTGAATATTGTAAAAAAAATCACTGTGATCAAAACTGTGACTCGCTGTATGTATGTATGCATGCAAGTCGAGCCAGATAAATAAAAGCTTGCAACAAAACGAAAACTGCTTATTTTAACTATAATTTCTGTACCGAAGTTCCACAGTGAGCTAATCACTTTAACTAACTATATATTATGTTTAAAGATTTTGACCGAAAGCGGAATCGTTATAAGCCATCTATTTTTATATGACCTTATTCTATACAGTGCCACACAAAACTATTGGCAGAGAATTTTTCACACTATCTAAAATTTTTAATTTTAATTTTTTATCCACAAATTTTTTAAAAAACATATACTACTACTGCTACAAAAAAAAAAAAACAAACAAAAAAATCTCTCAACTCTGCAAAACTCAAGAAAATTCAGTAAAATTGCATACATATTTGCAAATTTCTAAATCAGATTTTTCAGAAAAAATTTGAAAATTCAGTATTATAGCCCATTAAATTTTAGGACAATAAAGTGCAAGTTTCATGTTGCTAAAAAATCGTATTGATTTTTGTCCATTTTTTTTAGATAGTGTCACGTAGTTTCTTCCATATAAAAAATTGTCAAACAAACTTTGGATGGAAGGAACTACGTGACACTGTCATAAAAAATGGCCAAAAATCAATAAGATTTTTTAGGAACATGAAACTTGCACTTTATTGTCCTAAAATCCACCTAGTGATGTCTTGGCGATGTCCCATTGTTGCGTTCTTGTGCCGGTTCCTTACACCCAGGCATCTTTCTCTGCCTTTCATATACACTTTGCACATCTCTTCTAGCGCTGGAATATAAACAATTACATATCTGCATTTAGATAAAAAATTATAATAATAATACCATTCCGGGTGTGTCCGAATGTGCTTTTGCAAGTTTGTGGTGTTTCCCGAGCGCTTTATGGTCTTGAAGCAAATTTTGCAATTTGCCTCCTTTTCATTTTTCGCCGAGTAATATTTCCAAATATCGCTCCTTTTCATAACCTGTAAATATTTATTTAAGTTAAAATATTGTAAAATGTGTAGTAAAATTGAGCACTTACCAAAAAAGACAATGACCAACGATATTGCTTGCAACAATGTACAATGACCAAATCTCAATGTTTAAATGAAGATGAGTTTTGTATCAGTACAATGTTAAGTGTTGCCACTGCTCTATTAGAACCCGAACACAGAGTCGTTTTTAATTTGTACACCCTTAGTTGGCCAAAAAGCGATTGCATGCAATTTTATAATGTATTTTTGTTTTAATATGTAAAAAATATATTTAAACATATAACATTGTTAAATATATACGTATATACGTATTTACGAGGCAAACAATTTTGCTTTCATACTGATATGAAAGTTGTAAAAGTATTTATTTACACAATCTATTTTTCGAAATCTTCAATGAATTTTATAATTTGCAAATAATATAATGGCATAATTCCAATGCACATTGAGCACGTAGAGCACATGATTTGATTGTTTGTATCTGGTCACTAAATTGTCAAACTTTGCTTATATTACTCTAAGCTATCAACCTTTGTTTACAGATTTTGACATTATAGAGAGCAAAAGCAAAAACTAAAGACATTGGCCCGTAGTCATAGTCAAAATAAAGTCGACTTTAAAGTTAGTTGCAGCTTTTTTGACAGATATCCCATTGAAAATTATGTCAAAAAGCTGCAACTAACTTTAAAGTCGACTTTATTTTGACTATGACTACGGGCCATTGCTACTACCTGTTAAATGCGTCTTGTTCTTATTCAAAAAATAAAGTAATGCTTTGTAAAAGGACACTTCCACAAAAATTTTGTACTTATACTAAAAAATCAACAAAATATCAGAGTTTATCAAGTAAAACTAGTACATTATTAATCAAAGTTCTTTTAAGAAAATGTTTTATTATAAATTAGTAAAAAAACTTGCTAAAAGAACAACATTTTCTCTAATATTTTTTCAAATCTATTCAAGCTTCCGTAATATGCTAGATTTATTATAACTCTAACTGGATTTTACTTATATTTAGTATGCAAAAATTACAAGTGTTCTTAATATAAATAACAACAGAGGAAACTCTGATTATGACGAAATACATGGTAATACTTATTTGGCAAACTACCGCTACTTTTGGTGAAGTCGAATATGTAACTGTAAACTTTTGGCTCAAATCTGATGACATAGCGCGTCAAGCATTAGAAAGGGATAAGCTTACAACGTAGCGTCTGTGCGAACCATAGGTTGTTTCATACTAACTTATGACTGGTAGAATTTTTTCCGAAAATACGATACGATACTGAAGTTCATGTACTCGATTCCAAAAAATATCGGTGTAAAACTATCGAGTATAAAATATCGGTATCGAATGGCAAAAGTATCGATATGGTATCGTATCGTATCGAAATTCGTGTACCTATGCCTATTTTCAATATCATCTCAATTTTTACTCAAGTTATCGTGTGCACAGAGGGACGGACGGGCGGACAGACAGTCACCGCCAAATCGATTTCTTTTTTCATTATGATCATTTACGTATACATTTGTCTATATCCGTCTCGACTCGCTGTCTCGCTGTTACAAACAAGCGCGATATGAACAAAGTTATAATACCCTTGTGCACAAGTGCGCTTGGGTATAAAATTGATTTCAGAATATCCTACAACGAGAAGCTGATGATGCTTAATTAAGAAAAAAACGGCCAAGAAAACATTTTTGAGTAGTAACGGGTGATTTTTTTGAGGTTAGGATTTTCATGCATTAGTATTTGACAGATCACGTGGGATTTCAGACATGGTGTCAAAGAGAAAGATGCTCAGTATGCTTTGACATTTCATCATGAATAGACTTANCTTTGACACCATGTCTGAAATCCCACGTGATCTGTCAAATACTAATGCATGAAAATCCTAACCTCAAAAAAATCACCCGTTATAAAGAATGGACACGAAAAACTTTGGTCAGCCGAGAATCATTATAACAACATATTGCACAGCCTACGAAAAGGGTTTTCTGTTTTATCATTTTTTTTATGAAGTTTACTATATTAAACAATAAAAATTAATATTTCAATTATCTTCATTATAAACAAAATGGCGCAATTTACATTTGAGCCCTCTCTCCCAATTAATTTAAAAATTCGGATTATTTTCATTATTATCATTTTCAACGGGTCGCAATTGTGAACAGTTTGGTGGATTGTGGTCCTCTTGAACAATATTCACCCCGTGACTGACATACCAGTTAATGGCAATAGGGGTGTAATGTAGGGCTGCCAGACATCTCTGTTGCCCAACTGGGACACTTAAGGGGGGGAGGAGGCCTCTCGCTCCCTTCCCTTTCGTTTCGACAAAAATTACGTACGAAAAGATGTAGTAAAATCTTATTTTGACACACAACAACAAAAACATAAAAACATGAGATCATGAGATCATTACAACGTACACCAACAAAACAAACAACTTATCACAACTAAAGCACAGAGAATTTTTCACAATGCATGCACATTTTTTTGTTCTTTATAAAAATACCGTTTATACTAAATACATCAAAAAACATAAAAACACAATATCTAAACTTTGTGCAAAACTCGGAAAATGCAATAAATTTGCATGCAAATTTGCAACTTTCTAATCAGACTTTTTATAAAAATTTTGAAAATGAAGTTTTGCAGTACATAAAAATTTAGTTTTTTGGTATTGTTTTTACTGAGAGTTTCTTCCATACAAACTATGTTCGACAATTTTTTTTTATATGGAAGACACTGTCAGCAAAAAATAAATAATTGCAAAAAACCAACGAAATTTTCTGGTAACTTCAGACTTGCACTTTAAAAATTGGCTCAAAAGCTACATTTTGAAAATTTTTCTAAAAGATCTGATTAGAAATTGTGATCGGATGAAAGAGTCTCCGAGCCAATAATTTTGTACGGAACTGCACTTATAAGTACTCTAGGTTTCATGAAAGAAAAAATATTTAAGCACAAGATAACATTAAAATATCAGTCATTTCTTTCATTGCTGTGAACTTGTTTCAAAACTTCTGGCTTTTGCTTAATATAATTGTAAAACTCTTCGCATATCATTTTAACGTATTTAGGTACTTATATTAATCATCAACTATTGCTACTGCAAAACGTGCGAAATTAAAAAAAAATAAAATGTACGCATATGAAAGAGTACCAACCCAACTCGTAATACATTTAAGTATACAAATTTTAGTATTTAGTACAGA